TCTCCTTTTGCCATCTTCATTTATTATCCAGTTGTACCGACAAATGAAAAATAATATTCTTTTAATGATTTGGATACTATATTTGTGCATCTTTTGTTTTGCTTTTACTCTCACAATACCCATATGTATACACTTAGCTGTAAATACACTTTTCTGTATTTACAGTGTAAGTATATTACTCTGGTTTTCATGATATACTAAAGGCTAAAGTCACAAGCTTTTTAACTTGGTGATTGAATTAGTCCTTTTTCCAAAGTGATACAGTATTTTAAATTAAGCTGACCCAATCAATTGGGTGCACATACCATGTTAAGCCACCAAGGAAACAAACTAAAATGAACTCTAAATAAATTTAGTATATTACACCAGTAGATTAGTTAAATTAGGACTTTTATTATTCTGATCCCTCCTTCCACTTCAGCTGTCTGTCTTATAATTCTTCAAGGTTGCGTCTAGTGACACGGCCTTCTCTTCATCCCTAATTCATAGCCATGGCCAACTAACTGGGTTGTTGCAGCTTGGTGTGAAAGTTGTGTCTTCCACCTTCTCCCTCCGCCAGCCTTGCTGTATGTCCCATATGCAGGTAGTCCTTGCTTAACAAGCCCAATTGGGACCAGAGTTTCTGTCACTAAATGAAGCAGTTTCCTCTGGCTGCTATGCTCACCTGCCTTTCAGCTCCCTCTACCCACCTATCTCCCTTCCCCCATCTCTGCTCATTTGGCTGCCCTGCACTGCACTCCGCACCTCCACGTCTTGCATCCACCTTCCCTTCTGTCCTCAGGAAGGCTTTGCACACCCAGTTGCAAAGGCCAGCCTGGGAGGAGCAAGAAAACAAGAGGCAGCTTGGGACGGCAAGGACACTTAGGGTGTGTGTAGGAGGAGTGCAACGTGGAGGGCAGTGGCAGAGGTAGCGAAGTGCAAGGTGAAATGCAGGGTGGCAGGAGAGGTGGGGGGCAGGTAGCAGAGATAGCAGTAGCAACAAGCACTTAGACTTGTATGCTGCTTGATAGTGCTTTACAGCCCTCTCTAAGCGGTTTAACAGATAACAGATAATCAAAGTTGGAAGGGACCTTGTAGGTCATCTAGTCCAACCCCCTGCCCAAGCAGGAGACCCTACACCATTTCTGACATATGGCAGTCCAATCTCTTCTTGAAAGTCTCAAGTGATGGCGCTCCCACAACTTCCGAGGGCAAGCTGTTCCATTGGTTGATTGTTCTCACTGTCAGAAAGTTTCTCCTTATTTCCAGGTTAAATCGCTCCTTGTTCAGTTTCCATCCATTATTCCTTGTCTGGCCTACAGGCACTTTAGAAAATAGCTTGATCCTTTCTTCTCTGTGGCAGCCCCTCAAATATTGGAATACTGCTACTTACAAATAGCAAAGTCAGTCTATTTACAAAGTCAGTCTTTTTACGGTTTACAGAGTCAGCCTATTGCTCCCAACAATTTGGGTCCTAAAATGCACATCTGGCTAGAAAAAACGATAGGGGAACATATAGTTTTAAATCCGGAAATATTCCTGTTGGGCATCATACTGGATAAATATAGCAAAAGAAATGCCTACTTAATAGTACATGTGTTAACAGTGGCCAGAATCATGTTCGCACAACATTGGAAGGGCGAAAAGATCCCCACAGAAGAAAAGATAATAACAAAAATTTTAGAATGTGCAGAAATGAATAAACTAACATTTGAAATTAAAGAAAAGGAAGACACTGAATATTTTGCGGTATGGGATCTGTTCTATCATTGGTTAAATAAGAGAAACAGGAGTTAGAATCTCAAAGATTACAAGAGAAAGATTAATCTCATGATCAGGGTTGTTTATTGTAACTTATTAATTGTGATTAATTTTGATTAGTTTTACCAATTAATAGGTATCAATGTTACGAGGGAAAAGCACTGTTACCGTGCAATTATCATTAGAGAAGACTATTACTATGATTATGATGAATATTACTCCAAGAAATGTAACCAGGCAACCCACTGTATATATGAATTTTTAACACGTTTCTTTTTTATTTATATATTAATAAAAATTATTAAATAAATAAATAAACAAAAATAAACAATAAACAATCTGGCTCCTCATTTTACTGACTTCGGAAGGATGGAAGGCTGAGTCAACCTTGAGCTGGTGGGAATCGAACTTCTAATAGTTGGCAGAATTGGCCTGCAATACTGCATTCTAATCACTGCGCCTCCCTGGTTCCTTATGATACAGGACGAAGTGCTGGGCGGAGAGGCAGCGAAACACAGGGAAGTTGCCTGTCTGGATACATGTGCCTATAGTCACCCAGGATTTTCTGGCACCTACTGCTGTGCAATTCCCTGCATTCGTGTCATCTCCTATAGCTACCAGTGACAATGCTTAGCAGATTTTTTCCTTTCTTCAATGCCTTCAAGTCATGTTGACTGTTGGTGACTGCTTGGATAAGTCCCTGTGATTTTCCTGACAAGATTTCAGAAGTGGTTTGCCCTTGCCTGCTTTCTAGGGCTGACAGAGAAAGTGGCTGGCCCAAGGTCGCCCAGCTGGCTTTTCGCCTCACAAGTACAAAGGTAAAGGAATTACCTCCACTAGTCATTGTCAACTATAAGGAGCGGTGCTCATCTCCGTTTCAAGGCCAGTGGTACCTATTTATCTACTGACATTTGCATGCTTTCAAACTGCTAGGTTGGCAGGAGCCAAGGTGAGGATGGGAGCTCATCCCCATCATGTGGCGCTCGGGTCTCGAACCTGGGCTGCTGCTTTCCAGCTGACAAGCCCATCGTCTTAACCACTGAGCCACCGCACTGCCCAGGGGATGAAATTCAAAATTTTTCCCTACCAGCTCTATGGGCATGACTGTGGGCGTGGCTTGGTATAATAGTAATAGCAACCAGGGGTGATTTTTTACCAATTCAAATCGTCCCTACCACCTCTCCCAGGGTGAGCCGAGGTGGTTGAATTTCACCCCTGGCACTGCCCCTCTGTGCCCAAAGCAGTACTATAACTCCTAGTCTTCCAGTTTACTAGCCTAGCATCTTAACCACTACACCAAACTGATTCTCCATAATAGACATGGATAAATTAGAGAGGGAAGGAGGAAGGGAGAGAGAGAGTGGGAGAAAGAAGATATTTAAAGAGACACGACTGGCTCTGTCCTTACCTGAGTTGGTCACCTCATTCTGTCCTAAAATGCTAGCCCACCAAATCAGTTTGCAGTTTTGATCCCAGGGTCTCTGCTCTCTTATGAAGAACTCCTTTCTAAGTTTGCGTAGTCACAGTGTCAGGTACCAATTTCTGGTTAGTTAATCTGTCCCAAAGTTCCAGTTACCCCATAGCTAATTTATGAACTATATTAGTCTGAGAAAGCAAAAACACAGTGCTTCTGAAGCCAATAAGTCCATTTAGGTAAATTTTCCTACAAATGAAGGTCCCAGGATAATGGTGCAGGATCCAATCTGGATCCTTAGACAGGACTTTGGTTCATAGGCAGAATTTCTCACTAGCAGTGTATGTCACTGCCGGAGAGAACTGCCCTGAAGATGGGCCGAAAGCCTGGAAGACCAAAACCTCTGGTCTTAGTGACCGACCCAGATTGGATCCTGTACATTTTCCTTCCCAGTATGTGAGTGAGCTGTGCATACAGATAATCTAGGGCAGTTAGTAGGGACAGAAAATCCTTCCCTTGCTGTCATTGAGTTTTATGTGGGTCACCTACAAGCTCCAAGATAGTTGATTGGCTCTTCCACATCATGGGGGAGATCTTTTCATAATAGCTGGTACTCACCTGAGGAGGAAGCAGCTAATTGCTATGTCCATTTGTTTCAACATTGCAGAATGATTTCTTTCTGGACCAAAAAGGTCTTCGCTTTGACCTCTGCGGGAGGGCTGGAAAATCCAACTAGCTTATGGAGGGGGTTAACTAGTAAAGCTCTTATTGTCAGCCTAGGTCCGTGATGGCAAACCTATGGCATGCATGCCGGAAGTGGCACCCTGCGCATGCGCACACACCCCCAGCCAGCCAGCTGATTGTCGGGTATCTGCCACGCATGCACAGAGGGAGCCGTGGGGGGGCACACATGGGGGTCATGCACATACACAGAGGCGTGAGGCACGGGGTGGGTCACACGTGCATTGTATTATGGGTACAGGCAAGCATGCACATGCAAGTGTGTGCACGCGCCCTTTCAGCACGTGACGATGAAAAGGTTAGCCATCACTAGCCTAGGTCAAAGTTTGTCTCTCAGCAGGATTTGGCAATATTCAGCTGGTGTTTTTTTCTTTAAATATTCCTTGGACCTGTTTTACACCTCTTTGAGCCTTTTCAAGTCATGCACCAAGTTTCAGTGGCAATATACTTTTTCATTAACCCCCCCACCTCAAATAATATGCTATATTTGTATAATTCCTCTCCTAGGTTTAATACATGTAACTTACTTCTTAAAGAGAAGCAACTGTCTAAAAGTGTTACTGCCTCCTTCCCTCTTAAAATGTCAATGCTTTGGCCCTTAGAAGCTAAACTCTTTTAATTTTTTTCCCTAAAAATCCCTATTGCCAATTGTTTCGGCAATTGTTTCGAGAAGAGAGGCAGTGGGAATTTGAAGGCATTTCGCTATATGTGAGGTACAACGCACAGACTAAAGAGAAATATTTTTAAATATTTTTAAATGCACTCGATCATCAGTTGTAATGTAGGAAAGTATAATTTTCGTTCATTCCTGCAACGTATGGCAAAGGAATTTAGAAAGAAAGTAGAAATGATTTTTCTGAAAGGAAAGTGAAATTCTGAGAAAAGGTCACAATTATGGCACCTTCCTTGTTTACTAAGTACACTGAAATGATGTCAGATTTATTATTTTATTGGGATTCCAACTTTCCAAGGAAACTCCTTAGATAGTTTAAAAATAGTTCCATGAGCCAAGAGCATTAAAAGTCCAATTAATATTAAAGATTACTGGAGGGGGAAAAAACCCCAAGAATCCTCAGTTACGTAATTCTTTTGACTGCACTGATGATTGTTTCTGGCACGTGCTGCTACTCCTTATCCCATGACTCATGGATTCATGAGTTTTATATTGATTCTTTGTGATCATTCATGCTTTCATATTCCAATCTGGTGGAGGAGTAAGGACACTCTTTTAAACAAGTTGTGACTTCAAGAGCTTTTCCATTTATGGCAAATGCCCACAGTATTTTCTCTAATAAGGTAAGACCAATTTTATTTCTGATGTACAAATTTACTTATTGATGTAGGATAATCAGTGCCTGCGTGACTGAGCTAATCATTAGCCAACTTGGGGGGGTCAAGTGACCATATATGATTTGTATTGGACCTTGAATTCCTTTATTACAAACTAACTAAAAATGCTCCTTTGGAAAAGTCGAAACATTAAAACATAACTTACAATACATTTCAAAGAATACAAAAATTAAGGAGTAAGTGATTGACATGGAAGAGTGTTATCCTCATTTGGTAATCACTAGAAAGATTGTATATTTTTTTAGTATTTCTTCAAAAATAGAAAATCAATGGGAATGAACAACTCCATTGCAGTTATTTAACATGCCAAATAAAAGGAAGACAAATAACTTCAAAATAGAAATATATTGAAATATGGGAAAGTGCTGCTTAGCTGTTTCTGTGGCATCAGTCTTTCCATTAATGCAATGATCTCCTTTAAAGTACTAGTTTGGTGTAGCAGTTAAGACATCAGGCAAGTAAATTGGGAGACAAAAAGTTCTAGGCACAAAGCCAGTTGGGTGGCCATGGCCTGCCCCTCCTCTCTCTCTCTCTCTCCCTCCCTGTCTGTCAAATCAATTCGGAAAAACTTGCTAAGAAAACATGAGGAACTAGTCTAGACAGTTGTTAGAAGTCAACACTCACTTAAGACCACATTTTTAAAAAATCCACACAAGTTATGGATGATTCTTCTAATAAGTTCCATGAATACATTCCTTTGGATTCTAGTTATTAAAAGTGAATTAAATCTTTGTCAGAAATGAAATATTCAGGATATATAGATAAAAATCTCATCAATGCATCTGCATTTAGACGTTGCTGTATGATATTAGCAAATTTCAGCATTGGCCCAAAATTAGGCCATTCTTGGGAGAAAACACCTCATACTTGTTACCTAAGGAGGGTGTCTCAGTAGTACATCAATTGATGAGGCCAACCCTGGATAGCAGTTTCCTAAATTCTTGGGTCTGGTTTTAAGTCAGCTGTTAGAGAAGGTGAGATAATAACTACAAACTAATTGTCAAGCATTGGGGCTGTTCCCTGCCTTTACCTGCTAAAATATCTTCCCTGGAATTCAAATAGACTTGCCACAATCTCTGCTTTGAGCTTGTTCAAGAGCTTGAACACTCAAGGTGTCAACTCTGAAGCAAACCTGGATGAAGCCATCTTTTCCTGCCTCATAGTTGCCACAAACTTTGAAAGGGGAAAGGGAGCGAGGAAATAGATAGATTGGCTACCAGTCAAAACAAAAAGTTTTCTTGTGGGAACCAAGGTCATCCCAACAGGTGGCAAGTGAAGGAGGAGAGGAGTGACCAAACAGCCACCCAGCTACTTTCATTGGACATTGTGACCAGTGACATCTGGAAAGGGAAATATTTACTCTATTAATTAAAGGGGAAACCATGGGAACTTTTAGAGTTGGTTTTCACTAGCTGTACCAATATGATGTATTAAATAAACATATTCTTTGAGGAATCCTCCTGCCTTGGAGCTCTGCTTTTGGCTGATGTGTTACTCGAAACCTTGACACAAGGTTTGTGCAGATGGTAGTCTCATAAAGACACCGCTTAGCCTCACCACAGTGTGCTTCCCTTCTATTTTAAAACAGACGACACCTTAGGCCATGAACTCTGCCTTCTCCACATCCTTTTGATTGTGCTAGAAGAGAAACAGCACAAGATACCAGCAGCAATTGCCCTCCAAGACAAGAAAAGGAAAGGAGGGGATGAAACACATCCATCTTAGTCTCCTGCTTCAGGTATTGGCTGCTTGGCTTCACCTGGTGATGCTCCAGATTGTGGTACTGACTGTGAATCTGGCATAGCAGAATTGTGTAGTTTGCTAAGTCAAATGCTGTGAGTCAAGATAAGGTAAAAGTAAAGATTTCCCCTGTCCAGTCATGCCCAACTCTAGGGGGCGCTGCTCATCTCCATTTCTTAGCTGAGGAAGCCAGCATTGTCTGAAGATATTTCCGTGGTCATGTGGCCAGCATGGCTACATACACCAAGGCACACAGAACACTGCTACCTTCCCATTAAAGTGGTACCTATTTACCTACTTGCATTTGCATGCTTTCAAACTGCTAGGTGGGCAGGAGCCAGCGCAAGTAACGGGAGCTCACCCCGACATGCAGAGCTCAGGTCTCGAACCCAGGCTATCAGCTTTCTGGTTGTGAAGCTCAGCATCTTTAACCACTGAACCATTGCGCTCCTTTTTTAATGAAGATACGAGTGAGCAAGAATGAGCCAGTGAGGTGGTGAGAATGGAACAAGATCATCTTGGATCTTGTAAGAACCATGGTGGCGCAGTGGTTGGAATGCAGTACTGCAGGCTAATTCTGCCGACTGCCAGCAGTTGGATTCTCACCATTGACTCAGCCTTCCAGCCTTCTGAGGTTAGTAAAATGAGGAGCCAGATAGTTGGGGGCAATATGCTGACATTGCAAACCGCTTAGAGAGGGCTGCAAAGCAATATCAAGCGATATATAAGTGCTATTGCTATTGTATGTTTTTAACTGTGTTATCATTCTTGTTTTAATACAACTCAAAAAATATACTTTCAGCTCTATGAAGGAATTGATGGGGTGTGGGAGGAATTTAAAGATAGACACAAGCAGCTGATTTAGGATCTTGTTTCCTTTGTTATATATAATGTAACCATAATCAATCATAACATAAAATGCCAGTATAATCTCAATTTTACCCCCATGATATTGGCTTTGCTTTGTTCCCAGGGCATGATTTAAGAAGCCTTGATTCTGGTGGGGAGGGGTGTTTGGTCACAGCTCAAATACTTTCATCCCAACAATGCTAGATAAAATGTATGGCACTCCTCTCCCATCTTAGCAACAATGTGTGTTTATATGTCTGGATATATGGTGAATTTAATATTTAGGGGACATCAAACTGCATTATCATAAGTAGATCATAATGAGGAAAATAGAGGCAAGGGGGGGGGGAAGGAATTGAATGGTAATAATAATTTGCATCCCATGTTTCCACCCAACACATATATATTCATAGCAACTAACACCAACCTAAGATATAAAGAAATAATGTTTAAAGAACAGAATTGAAAAATAATAAAACCATGCACACCCAAAGCATCAATAAAACACTTCAGAAGGCCAAGTCAGAAGGCCAGCTCTGAACACCCTTTCCAAAAGTATAGTCTATTGTAACGCGGCCCAGCTCCTGAGACAGTTTGCTCCATTATTTGGGAGTGACTCTGGGGAAGGTATGTTAGAAGGTAGTAGATTTTGGAGATTAGAGGAAGAAAGTTGCTGTGAGTGGTATACTATATACCAGTGATGGCTAACCTTTTTGGCACCGAGTGCCCAAAGCACATGCGTGTCACCCCAAAATGCCACGCCCATGCATCCTGGCATTGCGCATGGATGTGCGCCCCCATGCATGCTCACATGTCTCTCATGCATGCACGCATCTACATGCATGCAGCCTGCTCCCCAAGCATGTGCACACGTTGCCTGTGCATGCGCCCTACCCCCCCACATGCGCCATACCCCCGTGCATGCATGACAGAGACCCAAAGACCAGCTGGCCAGCAAGAGGTGCGCGCACATGTGAAGCATAGCTGAGCTGGGGCGATGGCTCATGTGCCCACAGAGAGAACTCCGCGCGTCACCTGTGGTACACGTGCCATAGGTTCACCATCATGGCTATACACTATATACTGTATAATTTGCACAAGTGGAATTTTGAGAAGATATGCATGTATTTCTAGGAATGAAGTTGGTTGGCCTCCTTGAGCTTTCTGATCTGTGTGGTTTTTTTCTAAGAATGTATGTGGTTTGTGACATCACTAAGCCATGATTTTTGTCATCTCTAAACTCTGCTAAGAGTCTCAGGCTTCTGAAATCCAGTAGACCTAGCGCACCAACCTCTCCAGCACAGCACGTGCTGGAGAATCACAGGAGTTAATCTAATCATTGGAGGATATTAATTAGTACTCCCTTTAAACTAGAAGAGTGGAAGAAGCTTGTCCTTTAATCCCCATGTTCAGAAAAACTCAGCACCTCCTTGGACAGTCAACCTGCCTTTCTTCCTTAAATCAGGACTGAGACACACAGAGCATGGCAGGAACTTCTTGATGGTAGGATGAAATTTTAATGACTAGAGCCTAGATGTAGTTAATACAATCAGCCTGGACAATTTAATCATTTGGACCAACATTAGGAATTTTACCTCCTTTCCATATCAGGCCAAAATTTGCTCACAGTGTAACTTAAGTGCTCTATTTATTTTCAGTGTTTTTCTGCAAGTTCTCCTAGCCAGATTGGCAAAATTAGGAGAACAGCCCCACTGCCTAAAGAACATAGAATGTATTTCTTTACATACAGTAGGTGCACATTGCCAAAAGTTGTGCTATTGGGGACTGTACTCCTAAAATAGGAAAGCATGCTTGTGCAATTACAGCTAATTCTTGGTTTTCCATCATTATCCAATTGATAATGGAACCCCTGCAGTTGCAAATAGCAACAGATGAAATAGACATGAAGGTAAACTGATTTCCACTTTCCCCTCATCAGAATTCATGTCCTGCTAGCTTCTGATTTCTCTCAGGAATTTTCTTCTGGAAACTAAATCAACAAAATCTGAATATAATTGGGATTCCTGAATTACTTCCATCTTCCCCAGAGATACTGATTTGTTGTCGTTAGTTGCGAAATCACGTCCGACCCATCACAATCCCATGGACAAGGTTCCTCCAGGCCTTCCTGTCCTCTACCATCTTCTGGAGTCCATTTAAGCTCACGCCTACTGCTTCAGTGACTCCATCCAGCCACCTCATTCTCTGTCATCCCCTTCTTCTATTGCCCTCAATCGTTCCCAGCATTCAGCTCTTCTCCAGTGACTCCTTCCTCTCATTAGGTGGCCAAAGTATTTGAGTTTCATCTTCAGGATCTGGCCTTCTAAAGAGCAGTCAGGGTTGGTCTCCTCTAGGACTGACCGGTTTGATCACTTTGCAGTCCAAGGGACTTGCAGGAGTCTTCTTCAGACATACTGAAGAACTATAAAGACTTCTTAACGTGGCTACATGTATAAAGACTTGTAATAAAGACTTATTAACATGGCTACATCTCACTATAGAGAGAATATAGAGAGCTCATAATAATCTAAAGGAGTTACAGATTTAACCGTTCAGCCCTTTCAAAAATCTGAACAAGCATGTAAGGCTGTCCTTTAAAAACAAAGGGAGAGAATTAGATTTTCAACTGATATTAGTGTCACAACATCTAGGACTTGTGAGTATTGTTTGAGAGAGTATGGCCACAGATGTACATAGCAAGCCAGTGGTATTATGCCGGCTTTTCTCCGAAAAGAAAGAAAGAAAGAGAAAGAAAGAAAAGAAAAGAAACAAGGAAAGAAATGGTTCTGTTCAATTATTCTTAAAATATTTATGTAAATCCCTTTGCTGCCCACAATGCTGTCACACCAAATACATTTCTTCAAGACCTATGGGTGCACTTTCATAAATTAATAACGTAAAACATGAAGATTGTTAAATATAACAAGGCAAGGAAAAAGAAGTTACTGTTTAATGAACTTCCTGTTGACATTAAATAAAAACCCTAGAGACATGGGAACAGGAACTCAGAAGAACAAATTGCTGTAGTTGTTTTCAGAAAAAAAAGTTTTTGTTGTTTCTTTCTTTTATTTTAGAAATGTTGTGGCACCAGAGTGTAGGAGTGCCATGGCACTCCTATATTTCTTCTTTTCCTTTCTAGGGGAAAAGAAAGGCAAAGTCTGTTGTACTGTACATACAGATCTATCTGTCTCTTCAAATGTGATGATGTAATGAAGCCAAGAAATTTCCCTTAATTATTTAAGTCCGATAGTGCTAGGCTTCAGCATGGTGATGTGGTGGCCTAGTGGTGAAGATGCTTGCCTCCCATTCAGAAGGTTTGAGAGTTCAATCCTAGGTAGCAACAGATATTTCTCTCCTAAGGCCCAAAGAAAAAATATCTGCTGCACACTGCATGGTTGTCAGGAAGGGTAAATGCTCAGTTTCCAACCATTCCACCCCAGAGTCGTAAAGAGGGAGTTTCTTTATGCTGACCTTCATCAGCCTAAAACCCTCTAGATACTTTCAGTAACTTTCACCATGCTAAGATAACATGGAAAAAGAATATACTTGCTTTGGTGAAGCTGTAGCCAAATATAATCGAAGGAACCACAACAGAGATCTAACCATTTTAACTATTGTTTTGTATTCTAAAGGATTCTCAGTTTTATTTTATTTTTAAATCATTATTTTATTGCTGAAATATAATATTGGGAACATTTTTTTTAATTAAAAAAGGCTGTGTAGAAATGTGCTGCATAAACCATTTGTATAATTTGTGATACAACCGATGTGTTGGGCAGAATGTTCATTTGTTTGTTTAAAATAGAAAATCATAGGTCTCATACCAATTTCCTGTTTTTAAGAATGAAAAAAATGACGTAGAAAGTTTCAGAATAAAATTTGGCTTATAGTTTTTGTGTGAACTTACCAAACAAATAATACGTGTTCTGTAACTATTGCACCCTTAGGTTAACTGGTTTAACAACATCTGTGTGAACAGAATTATTAAAAGACAGACACAATCACCAGTTCTGTTCTGCAACACTATTGCTGCAATGTCCTGCTTTTAAGATGGGTTCCTCAGAGAATAGGAAGTAGACTGATAAGACAAGCACACAGCTTCTTGGTTCAGACAAAACATACTAAATAGATATCCCGTTATCTAAATCACAGCTCAACATGGCTTGGGTAAGTGTTAAAAGATGAATAATTTTCTTTTCATCTTTTTTGATCTTCTTTCACGTCGGGCCCAGAAAAACCTCTCGGGAATGATTTTTGGGTACCACAACGGTGATAGTTTATTCTGTTTACAAAGGGAACAAGGAAAGCCTTGAATTGTCTTCTCAGGTGCTGTTGGGTTGGTTTTAAGAACTAGTGCTGAAAGATGTCTCCTAGGTGTTTACCTACCTTTTTACCTATAGAGTAAAAATTCCTGGACAGGGTGGGTTATTGCAATACATCATTATTTAGTTTTCTAATAAGTCTATATTCACGATTGTTATGAAATCTGGGTCAAATGGGAAGAACAAAGTCCAGATTAACAGTTGCCTAGGAACAATGTAGAACTACGGCCTTGAATATAGATAGGTAAATCATTGATCTAAAGTTCCTTTGCGAAATCCCCAGGAAATACTGTGTTACGAAATTCTTTCTGCAACCTACTTAGCTTCCTATTTGTGACGCCTTTCTCACAGAGTGCTGTGTGTGAATTAAATAATGACTGACAGTGACTTTGTGCCTTCAAATATACTACAGGTGGATTAGTCCAAGGACATGGATTAGAACAGGGGTGTCAAACTCATGTCGTCACGTGTCATATCAGGACTTTCCCCCCACTTTGCTAAACTGGGCATGGGTGTGGCTAGCATGTGACGTATCCGGCCCATGGGCTGGGAGTTTGACAGCCCTGGATTAGAAGAACAGAATAGATCCAACATATGCTTGCATATTATGCTAAGGTCTGCTTTGCTTAAACATGATTTACTGAATACGCCCAGCTAGTTGAGATTTTATGACACTCTAAAATAACATTGCCTGTGCTCATACCACAAGCCAACAGTCCATGTTACAGCATAGTGCAATGTGTAGCACTTTTTGGATTTGAAGATCATTGGAGAAAACGTTGTAGGCCTGAATTGAACCACAAGGTAGAAACATTAATATAGCTAATAGAGCAGATGAGCGGAGTGGATCAGCACAAGCTGGTTCAAAATTACATTCCTTCATTAATCATGAACAACATTCAGATTATTATGTTGGTTTGTGTAGCATCAAGTGTGGTTTTTCAGAGTTGCTGACTTTTTCCTCCACTTGCTGCTTTTTACTTGCCTGGTAAAGGAATCCTTGTGTGACCTGGGGTCTCGTTTTAAATGATCACAATAAAGGTATTAGCTAATGGTTGTTTTTATGCAAGAAGTTACTGCCTCTCACATAAATTCATATTTGTTCATTTATGGAAGTAGACGGTCAAGGGGGAAAACATGAATTTTAACCCCTGGGGCAATTCTATTTTCATATTTATTTCAGGAGGAAATTGAGGAATACAATTATAGCATGTGGCACCATTTTGTCCTATGGTTAATCGTCATCTTTATATGGTGGAAATGGAGAGGTAGGGAGAATTTAGACGAAGTGGATCCCGAAGGGAAATACATATTCATCACTGGTTGTGACTCTGGATTTGGGAAACTGGCAGCTATGACCTTTGATAGGCGAGGATTTCAAGTGATTGCTGGTTGCCTCACGGAAAAGGGGGCAAAGGAGCTGAAAGAGGAGTCATCGGCCAACCTCCAAACAGTGCAGCTGGATGTGACAAACTCAGACAACATCAAGCAAGTAGCAGAACAAGTTAAGAAAGAAGTAGGACAACGTGGTAAGCAATTAAGTCCTGTTCCTGGGTGTTTCTCTCTGCCTACTAAATACAGAGTTGAGAAGAGGGCCACAGCACTTTTACAGGATGGATATTAATGGGGCTATAAACAAGAGGAAAACTTTGCTTCACCTGCTGGTTCCCACTTATATCAAAGTCCATGCTGGTTGGGAATGATAGGAAGTGGAGCACAGGAGGGACTAAGCTGATGGAATTTATTTTTGCTGCTTTTGTTGGATTTTCCTCCGGAACATTCCAAAAAGCTGGAGTAAAGGCTGTTGTTGGCCAGTTTTATGACAATATGTGACAGCAGCAACTATCCTGTTCTAGTCCATAGGGAATTTTTAAAACAGTCCCCCTGTACAAATAAGATACCTACTGGAATATGTTTCTGGATTTTGCTGCACTTCAGCCCTGGCAGTCCAACTGAAACTCCATTCAACAAAAACTCATTTAGTTGAAGTGGTGATTCTGTAAAATGGGCATAAGAAGAATGGCTTACAATTGCCAATAATCCACTGTATTTTGTAGCTATCTCCTCATATTCAAGAAATAATTGTTCTTCTCTTTCTTCCTCTTTAAACTTCATGGTTTAAAGGTTACAGGAAAGAGATAACATATCAATTAGGTATATTTGTTTTTGTTTCATTATATTAGAGTTTTAACCCTTTCTTAGACATTCAGAGTTGCTGTTTCAATCTGGGCAGCCATATAAATTGATTAAATAATTCAGTGGCAATACGGCATGAACATAGTGAGACTTACTTCTGAGTATTTTATTCAGTTTATCCTGCTTTTCCATTTATGGAATATTTGGAATAGTAAAGATGTAAAATAAAATTTAACAGAATAAAAAAATTAAAAACCCCAGTAAAATATCTTAACTGTTCTTACCTGCTGAAGGCTAATGGTGAGTATATGACAGGTAAATGAGGCATCTTCAGAAAAACAGCCCTGTCCTATATAGATCATAATATCTGGGAAAGTTAAAAAAAAATCACATGGTGATCTCTCTTATGTTTAGATTCTAAACTGTTGAGGGATGTTTAAAGGTTAACACCAATATCTTAAATCACCGTTTCTCTACCTCAGCAATTTTAAGATATGCAGACTTCAACTTCCAGAATTCCCATGCTGGCTAGGGAATTCTGGGAGTTGAAGTCTGCCCATCTTAAAATTGCTGAGGTAAAGAAACACTAATTTAAATGGTGTCCAGAAAGCACTTTGGGAATTGCACTGGCAAAAAGGAGTCAATATTTTTACTGCCAAACAACTTGAATCATTGGGCAGCTCCTCCTAAGGTTTCGCTAGCTTCTCTCCCTCTTCCATGTCTTAGTTCTAAGTGTCTGGGGAAAAAAATATGTTCCTTCTCCTCTGCCAAACAACCCTTCAATCCCAGGCATCTTCCGTTAATCTATTGTTTAAGATAAACAATAGCCACAGAGATTTTGCTTTGCCTCTGAAATCAATCAATGACATGTCCAGGAAGGGCTATAAAAATTGTGGCCAGCCACTGCCAGTTAATGCAAGAGACGCAGACCCAAAACATCACTTATTATGGCAGCTTTCTGCAATGCTCTTCAGAGAACGTGATTTTCAGTTTTCCTAGTTTGTTTATGTCCATTTGAGGATAAACAGATTATGTATTGTGAAAACAACTAAAGTTCCTGGATTATGATTGTGGCAACATTGTGTGTCTGTGTGCATCCACTTTCTTAACACTTTTCATAACGGCCAGAATGTTATTTATTATATTCAGATATGATATTTTTGTGGGTTTTTTTTTCCTTTCTTTCTTTGCAGGTCTCTGGGGCCTTATCAATAATGCTGGTGTCATGGGACCATCAGCCCCTACCGACTGGCTGAGGATTGAGCACTTTAGAGCGCCCATTGAAATCAACCTGATAGGCCTCATAAATGTTACATTAAACATGCTTCCGTTGTTGAAGAAAGCCAAAGGAAGAATAGTAAATGTAACCAGTGTTGGTGGTATTCTGGCAATATGTTCAGGGGGTTATTGTCCATCCAAATATGGAGCAGAAGCCTTTACCCACAATTTAAGGTTAGTCAGAAGTCGCTGAATAAGGTTCATCGCAGCTAAGATTCAATCCAGTCTCAGTGGGCTCTAATGTCAGCATCGTATCCAATCATTCAGCTCTGTGAATTGAGTCATCTATATGGTTCACTGCACGGCTATAACATACATTAAATCTTTGTACATTAAACACACGTTAAATCTTTTCTTGCTTGTAAAGTGATAACAAAAGGAAGAATGAGGACAGGAAAAATCTGGCTTGGGGAGAGGATCATTTCCCCCCTGAAATCGGTTGGATTTTTGGAAAGAAAATGGCTTTTCTTAGGTATTTGTCCCAAGGAGGAAGGGAAAGTTTTAAAGATTAACAAACGTCTAGCTTGCTTTAATGCAGTCCAGCACAACATGCAGACACAGATTCAACAGTAGGCATTTTAGTAGGAAACCATGTATTAGAGCTGTGAGCCCCAGGCAAAATTTCCTCACTGCACATGTGTGCACCTCCCAGCTGATTTTCGAGCCTTTTTTGGCCTGCCAAAGGCTTGAGGGATGCCTCTGCAGGCTTTGCAGACCGAAAAAGAGGCCCGTTTCATCACTTCCTGTATTTCAGAAATACCGGAAGTGACTAAACAGGACCATTTTTCAGCCTGCAAAGCCTGTAGAGGCATCCCTCAAGCCTCTGGCAGGCCAAAAAAGGCCTCAAACGGGCCAAAAATCAGCTAGGATGAGCAGTGCAGGTAAGTGGGGGGGGGAATCATGTACATGCCCAAGGGGCATGGGGGGGGGGCTGTTCACATTGCCTTCTGGGTGCTGGCACGCGAGAAATAGCGCACGCACAATTTTTGGCACAGGAGCCCAAAAAGGTTAGCCACCATTGTATTAGAGTATGCTGATGTGGATTGTGTAAATCTAGAGTCTAGTAGCACATTTTTTGACAGACAAATATTAGTAAAAAGTATAGGTTTTCACAGACTGCAGTTCTGATCGTCTCATCTCCTGCTCATTAAAAGCTCACAGCTTTTAATAGCTATTTAATCATGAATAGAACAAAACAGAGTAGAATAATAACTTTATTGCCACTTTGAATGTATTAATGTACTAATCGGCCTACATTAAAATGAAATTTTGTTGCATATAGCTCTCAGAGGGTCACCACCTCCAGTATACACTACATGAACATGACACAAATAAATAAATACAAAATTGTATATATATGCCCACATATAATATATGACACAGAGAAACAACACAGTCTAGTTTGGGTGTATACATGTACATGGCGAGAAAAATGAATCTTGCGAGTTTACCAGATGGATGGCATAGGGAACAAAGCTGTTACAGAATCTGGTAGTTTTGCTAGAAATACTTTGAAATCTCTCAGAGGGGAGCAATAGAAACAGGCTGTAAAGTGGGTGTGTGGTGCCACCAAATTCAACAATACTTCTTCTCTCTAAAACGTCTTTCTAGTGTAAGTTATTACTGTTGACATCTTTTCTTGTTTTGCAGACAGGATATGAAGCCCTTTGGAGTGGAAGTGTCCTGTATTCAGCCTGGCTTGTTCAAAACAGATCTCTCTGATAGAGTCCGAGTCGTAAAAGAAAAAGTGGCCATTTGGAATAGCCTTCCTCCCACCATCCAACGGCAATATGGTGAACATTACCTCAAGGAAGGTGAGCTATGAAAAGATTTCAAGGCCCAAAAGAAGCTCTGGAGCCATTAGATTTCAGGGGAATCTGGTCTATCTTGGTTCAGCAGGTGTCTTTGATGTGGTGAACATTTAAATGCCCTCTTTCCATTTTACCCATGGAGAGATTCCCTTCACCATGCTTTCCTCTTAGCCTCCAAAACACTATCGTGACATTTCCCTTTGTTTGATGGTTAACTCAACACCGTTCCAGAACCCCACAATCCACCTTCATGGATGGAGCAGTAGCACACTCATCACTAGCATCTAAGTTGAGGCTGTTCATGGCAAGCTGTTTTTATTTTAAAAATGCTTACGTTTTGAATAGGAGGCTGGCCATGTAACCATAGCAATAGCACTTAGACTATATACCGCTTCACAGTGCTTTACAGTCTTCTCTAAGTGGCATATTGCCCCCAACAATCTGGGTCCTCATTTTACCAACCTCTAAAGGATGAAAGGGTGAGTCAGTCTTGAGCCTGGTGAGATTTGAACTGCCAAACTGCAGGCAGCTACCACTCAGCAGAAGCAGCCTGCACCACTGCATTCTAACTACTGCACCACCATGTAGATAGTTATTGCCATAGGTGCCCACTCTGTATTTTTCTAAAGCAGTTTTTCTCAGCTTTCTTAGTGGTTTCAGAACTGAGGACTTCAGTTCCATGAATTCCAGGCTTTAACATTATCTAGATTGGGAGTGGGGAATTATGGCCCCTTTATGACCCGTAGACCTCATGGCTGGTTCAGGAATTCTGGGAGTTGAAGTCCACAAGTCATAAAAGGGCCAATAGTTTCCCACCCCTTATCTAGATGCCAGTAAGGCTGCTTTTTAATAATTCACATCATCTTCTATACTACTGTCATCTATCATCATTGCCTCAGTATAACCCTATTATTGTAGTATCAGCACTACTGTAGTTGGATGTTGCCAGAAGATGCTATAAATCATTAGTGAGGACCCTGCCTAAACACAGCATCAGTCATTTTCTCAGCTGCAAGAAATGAGTATGTGTGTGTGCGAAGTGTAAAAATTATCTTTCTCCCTCTTGCCCAGTCATACTATCAGTATTCTTTGTAGATTAAGAGAACAAAACCATATGTTAATCTGTCAGATCTTGTTAGCTCTATTAGTACTGTATGTATCTGTATGTACTTAATGTCACAATCCAATGCAATTTCTCTTTACAGCTTTATATGTTAGAATCATAACCATAATCATATCAAACTACTTAATCAAGAGCCTTGAATCCTGTTACTGAAAATATTCTCCTCTCCTTTTTCTTCTTTCCCTAGATGCAAAAAAGAAAGATAAATTAGTCAGGCTGTGCCAGAATTCAGACCTGTCACTGGTTGTGAGGTGCATGGAACATGCCATAATGAGCAAATATCCAAAGGCTTATTACAGCGTAGGCACAGATGCTAAATTCCTTTGGATTCCTCTTTCAAAGATGCCCACCTTTATCCAGGACTACATACTCATGAAGAACAAAGTTAAGCTATTTAATCCAAACTCAGAATAAGATCTCCTCCTTTGTTCCTTGGAGGGAAACTCCAACCTGTTGGCTCAGAACTTATGATACTGTGACCATTGTTTGTTACCCAGTTCAAAGTACCAATTCACGTACATGCTTCAAAAGCTGTGCTTGCTTAAATAAGGAAGATAAATACTCCAATGTTCAGGCAAACAAGCATCCAGTAGTGTGGGTGATCCCATTTCTTGCTGACATTAAGACAGTAATATGGTCTGTATTATCTGATGGTTGTTAAGGCTGAATGAGCATTTGCTGACAAAAATACATCTTAGGCAATCGATCAGTCAAAACTTGGAAAACTCTACTATCGCAGGACAGTGAAATAATCGTGTATTTTAAGAGCTCATGAGAAGAAAAACAAAGGCAGTTAAAAATACTATGTACTTTGCAAACATTGGTGGTTTGAAAGAGCTCTACAGAAGCAAAACAAAATCCTGGTTCACCCTTTATATGTGTGTGTGTGTGTGTGTGAGAGAGAGAGAGAGAGAGAGAGGGAGGAAGGGAGCGAGGGAGAGACAGAAAGACAGACAGCGGGACCCATATAATGGCAGTTTAAGCCCTTTGCAGAGGATTGAATTCTTGGATGATTGGAATTTGCCCAGAGGTCAAGAGACTAACCCAAGGAAGGACCAATTGAAAGAGATATAGATAGTCCTTGACTTACAACCACAATTGAGCCTAAAATTTATGTTAAGTGAGACATTTGTCAAGTGAGTTTTGACCCATTTTATGACCTTTCTTGACACAGTTGTTAAGTGAATCACTATAGTTGTTGAGTTAGTAGCCTGGTTGTTAAGTGAATCTGCTTTCCCCATTGACTTAGATTGTTGGAAAGTGGCAAAATGTGATCACACGACCCTGGGAGACAATAGCTATCATCAATATAAACCAGTTGCCAAGCATCTGAATTTTGATCACAGCAAGTTGTAACAGTGAAAAATGGCCCTAAGTCACTTTTTTTCAGTGCTGTTGTAACTCTGAACAGTTCACTAAATGGAACTGTTGTAAATCGAGGACTACCTGCAATGCCCATGAACATGTAAGGGAATGCCTCTCTTTAGTGAGGAAACTTTTCCTTCAAATGTCTGAAGACTGAGAAATCTTGCTTCCTGTATATCCTTTCCCCCTCAGTTCAGCCTCCGTGGTTAGGGCTCTCCATCCTCATGCTGCACTGGTTCAGGTAAAGCCTCTTCTGAGATGTTAGGAAGCCATTAGTTGAATGCTGGCTTGATTTGGCCTCATGCCTTTTATAAAATAGAAACTGGATATTGATGCCAGCCATTCCAGATTACAGTCCTCCTGGCTGAAGTTGTTGGGAATATAAGTTCAGCGACATCTCGAGAGCCCACAATGAGTGCGCTCAGAAGCCACGACTAAACACGTGCCGAAAAAAAATATCAGGTTTAATTTAGCATCTTTCCAATTAAGGGGTCAGAGACACAATTTCCATTGGCATGGGCAAGACTCGATTTTGCAAACAATTTGGTGTGCTGCAGAGCTCTTCCTATGATACAGTAATTGCATATGTCTAACGAGCAAAAATGAATTTGAATTTGCTTTGCACTCTTCGGTTTTGAACTGCGAAAGTAAGAAAATTCTGGTCGGGCTTCTTTGAATTAAAAACAGTCAAACTGTGGCTCAGTGAAGATTATCTATTCACTTATCTATTTCCCCAAACTAGATTGTGATTTGTTTTTAATTCAGCATGTGGTATGATCTTAACTAGTTGTGGCATATTCAAAATGCCACATATTCAGATGTGGTTAAAATAAGTCGTGATTTAGCATTTCATATTTCTTGAATCCCTTCAAGCCCTTTTCGGGAAGCTTTGCAAACACATCACAACGGCAGTAGGCTAAGCTTGCTGCTCACCTCTTTATCACATCTGTGGATCAAAATGTTAAAAAAAAAAAAACAGCTACTGGGATCAGTATTGTCCCTAAATAAGAGCTGGATGAGGCTTATTCCTGCAGAATGACCTACTCCAAAAAACAAGGGAGGCACCGCCTTTCTTGCCATTTGGTTCTCCCCATGAGTTTTAAAGAAGTTCATTTTTTAATATATATATATACAAGAATACTCTTGACTCATGCTTCAACATGGTCAATGAAAGATGGTCAGTTGATAATGCTCAACAGATAGATGGACCAATACCCTGAATCTAACACAGCTATTATACTTCTTACATGGAAAGCGAATAAGAGGGTATGATAGAACAATTTGCAGCTTGAATTGTAAAATTTATCCTTCCTATCCACATACTAAGAACTTCCATCAAAAGAACAAATTATAGCATTCCACAGGGACATGTTACTCTTGTATTGAATTTAACTGGTTGATCAAAGGTACATGGGTGTAGAAGTGGTGAAATTCCATATACAGGTGAAACTCGAAAAATTAGAATACCGTGCAAAAGTTCATTTATTTCAGTAATGCAACTTAAAAGGTGAAACTAATATATGAGATAGACTCATTACATGCAAAGCAAGATAGTTCAAGCCGTGATTTGTCACAATTGTGATGATGAAGGCTTACAGCTCATGAAAACCCCAAATCCACAATCTCAGAAAATTAGAATATTACATGCAATCAATAAAACAAGGATTGTACATAGAACAATATCGGACCTCTGAAAAGTATAAGCATGCATATGTACTCAGTACTTGATTTGGGCCCCTTTTGCAGCAATTACTGCCTCAATGCAGCATGGCATGGAAGCTATCAGCCTGTGGCACTGCTGAGGTGTTATGGAAGACCAGGATGCTTCAACAGCGGCCTTCAGATCTTCTGCATTGTTCGGTCTTATGTCTCTCATCTTGTTCTTGGCAGTGCCCCATAGATTCTCTGTGGGATTCAGGTCAGGTGAGTTTGCTAGCCAATCAAGCACAGTAATCCCTGGTCATTGAACCAGGTTTTGGTGCTTTTGGCAGTGTGGGTAGGTGCCAAGTCCTGCTGGAAAATGAAGTCAGCATCCCCATAAAGCTCGTCTGTGGAAGGAAGCATGAAGTGCTCCAAAATCTCCTGGTAGACGGCTGTGTTGATCCTGGACTTAATGAAGCACAGTGGACCAACACCAGCAGATGACATGGCTCCCCAAATCAACACAGACTGTGGAAACTTCACACTGGACTTCAAGCATCTTGCAGTGTGTGCCTCTCCATTCTTCCTCCAGACTCTGGGTCCTTGGTTTCCAAATGAGATGCAAAAGTTGCTCTCATCAGAAAAAGAGGACTTTGGACCACTGAGCAAGAGACCAGTTCTGTTTTTCTGTAGCCCAGGTAAGACGCTTCTGACATTGTTTGTTGTTTGGGAGCGGCTTGACAAGAGGAATACAACATTTAAAGCCCATGTCCAGTATCCGTCTGAGTGTGGTGGCTCTTGATGCACTGACTCCAGTCTCAGTCCACTCCTTGTGAAAGTCCCCAACACTTTTGAATGGCCTTTTCCTGACAATCCTCTCCAGGCTGTGGTCATCCCTGCTGCTTGTGCACCTTTTTCTTCCACACTTTTCCCTTCCACATAATTTTCTATTAATGTGCTTTGATACAGCACTTTGGGAACATCCAACGTCTTTGCAATTACCTTTTGAGGCTTTCCCTCCCTATGGAGGGTGTCAATGATGGTTTTCTGCACAACTATCAGTCAGCAGTTTTTCCCATGATTGTGCTTCCTACTGAACCAGACTGAGAGGCCATTTAAAGGCTCAGGAACCCTTTGCAGGTATAATAGCTTCATTAGCTAATTAGAGTGGGACACTTTGAGCCTAGAATATTGAACCCTTTCACAACATTCTAATTTTCTGAGATTGTGGATTTGGGTTTTCATGAGCTGTAAGCCATAATCATCTCAATTATGACACATCACGGCTTGAACTAACTTGCTTTGCATGTAATGAGTCTATCTCATATATTAGGTTCACCTTTTAACTTGCATTACTGAAATAAATGAACTTTTGCACAATATTCTAATTTTTCAAGTTTCACCTTTAGGTCATTCTGCACCTTGCACCTTTTAGCACTCCAGAGAATATTGAAGAACTGAGTTTTATTTTGCACAAGTTAGCTGAAGGAGACATATGAAGTTCTGGAGAAGGAGAGGATCCTGAGGAAACGAGATCTTTTCTTAATCTCCACCTCAGTTCTGGGAAATCTACCTTGTCATGGTTAATGTAATTGCGCCAGCATTTCCTTAAAATATTGTGCATGGTTTTCCATGAATGATTCATTTATTGTGTACTTTGTGTCCTACACATTTCAATAGTGTTTGTTACCTGTTGTATTGTTAACATTTGATCAAAGAGCATTAACTATTCTTGGTGAGAATGCGTTTACCTCCCATGGGTTGCCCTGAATATAGAATTATTTCAGACTTAATATCTAGAATATGTTTCAAATGGGATGGGCTGAGAGTGGGACCAATAAGAGGCTGACATGCTTACCTTGCTATCAAGAGTCAATTTTGGCGTAGTGGTTAAAACATTAGGCTAGAAACCAGGAGACTGTGAGTTCTAGCCCCACCTTGGAGGCAAAGGCCCCTGGGTGGCCATGGGCCAGGAACTCACTCAGCCCTAAGAAGGAGTCATGACAAGCCACTTTTGAAAAACTTTGTGAGGGAAAACTGCAGGGACCTCTCCAGGCAGTCTCCAAGAATCAGACATGATTAAAGCAAAGGAAGCAAAAGAAATCTTGCTGTGAATATTTCTAAATCTATATGACAATGGCACTGAATCTGTGCTATATTTATTTTTCAGTTATTGATCAAGATTTTTCCACTTAATAGATCGTTCACTTGGTTTCCGTTGCTATTTCTGATATTTTGGAAGTCAACTATGGAATCCTTTTTATCATAACCTAATGTTGCTATTGAGTTTGCAGCCATAAAGTATTTTAACGGGTTCGTATTTTGTTTTCTGGTTTGCTTGTTGCTAATTGTTTCTATTTTTTTGGTCGCCACTTGTTCTCATTCATTTTGAGAAATTTCTATTTTTGTATCTGCGAGTTGGATAGATAATAAATATGCCCTTTTTGCCAAAGATACCATCTTACGTATATTTACAGGACATTTAGACTTAGGTTTTTAATGGACAAAATGTGATTTAAGAGAACAACTGTAATTGTGCGATATAAGGCCTTTCTATATTCACATTGTATGCACATCTAAAGACTCATAAAAGAAATGCTTTTATTTTAACTGTGAGATTACCTTCTGTACACTTTAAAATTATTTGGGTGCGATAACTATCTTTCAAGTAATACTTTTTAAAACTATGTCCCAATTACAAGCCTTGCAACATATGATAGCCTCTAGCCAAATCTGATGATCTTATAAAGTTATAAAGGATTCGATTTGATTAGTACTTTTATCGAAGACCAGTCCCAGAAATCCTAGTGCTGAAAAATTGACTGGGAAAATGAAGGGAAAAAAACATCCTGGAAAAAGGCAATGTCAAAAAACAGTTTGATTTTGTTGCCAAGAAAATAAGCTGTATGACCTATGTAGCTTCCAGTTATCACATTTAGCCTGAGGAAATCTTAGCAAATCCAAGTCCATTGCTAGTGTGGTTGAATTGTTTGTAAAAATTTAGTGGAAGAACTCCGTTTATTGCTGTTATTTAAACACCAGATAAGGAGGTTGGTTTTATAAATCAAATACATATAGACAAAAAGCATAGATATATCTGCTGTAGTTTGATACACATCCAAAAAGTATTGGCACACACATTGGAATATGCTCATTGGGATTAATATCCTAAAGGGCTAAAATGCTGAATTTTTGCACTTTCTGAAGATCAGTTCTTGCTTTCAGACAAGAATCAGTTTCTCAAACTTGTTCTGCTACAAGCTGAGGAAGTGGTTATGAATTGTGGTTAAAATATGCTTCATCATACATGAACAAAACCTCAGTTTGACTTCTCTGAAACTTCTGTTACCTGCTCTTTTTCTTAGGGACTCCTATCTTAACTCTGTTTCTGCTTGCTTTTTGCCCGACCCAGTGGTTCATTAAAGAAAAACGGCTAAGTCATTTGATCTACATTACTCACATTGGGTTTAAAATAATTTTACCGATGATTTTTTTAAAATGTGGTGTTTGATTAAAGTGAAATATTAGTTGGAATGGAATGGGCTGATAAATCTAGGGTAGGAAGATATAAGTGCTAAAATGCGGGTTACACCTTTTCAACATGCCAAAGCAATGAGAGAAGATGAAATCAATGTATCTTCTCATCTACTTTACCCGCCCAGTTAATTCCGTCATTCTTACACTCCCTTTCCTAAACTGGGGCCAAAATTACATATCCTGCAGGAAGGGAATGAAAAGTTTATGGATATTGGTGAGATTTCCATACTATTGGTGACTATACTGTGAGTAATTCTGTGATTGATATGAAACTCTGACAATAGATTTAGTCATAGAGGAAGCTATTAGGAGAGTGACTTTCGGTTTGAAGTTGGATCAGGAAATGGCTTACAGTTGTAATAAGTTATTTGTTACTTAAAATAAGCAGTAGAGTGAAAGTGGGGATACTATGAATGTAAACCAAAACAGATTCAAGGAAAATTCAATAATTCATTGGAAAGGAGAATGATACTCAAAGTCTTTGGAAGCTATAAACAGAATTTATAGTACAGAAAAAATTAGGAAAAATGGCATTAAGTTCATTTATTAACTAAAACATTAGATATTATTATAAATAATTGCAGGCAATCAGATAAACTACACAGCATCAGTTTTCCACAGTTTAATATGTTTATTAATCATACAATCTATCAGACAAATAGTGTATATTCTCTTTATCAATCACACATTGTTTTCTAGCTGTTCATATTCGTTCTTTCATAATCACATTCTAGATAATGTGAACACATTTTATGAATATTAAAATATATTTCTGAAAAGGATGGAC